TGATTTTTCAGCTAAGCCGATTTATTGCTGATTTGGAAGCCGTCAAACAAAAGTAATAGCAGCAACGATGTATCCTAAATTACCGCCAGGGTTAGTTGAGTTGAAATTTTTTCCTACCACAAAATTTAAATGTATTAATATTTTTTTTTTTATTAAAACAACTTTTTCACAAAGTTTTACTTTCTTTAAATCTAGCCCTAGTCGATGAAGTACCGCAACGTAATTTGGGAGTGGCGGACTTCGAGAAGGGGTACTTATGACTCAAAAAACATCAAAAATTCGGAAACTTCTGTATAGTTCATAATTCCTTCAGAAAAACGAAAAAAAAAGCAAATTTGTTTACTTGTTAATTTTTTACTAATTTTTTATTAGTTCCAGTCTTTAATACCTTCAAAATTCGCATCACTTTCAGCTAACATCGGTTCTTCCAACAACGCTTATGGTGCTGTTTGTGCCAGCAAATACTTAAAAAAGACTAAAAGTTTAAAAAAAGTTAAAAATTTAAAAAGTCAAAAAAAACCAAAAAGAAATTTAAAAAATATTAAAAAAAAAACTACACGATTTCCTTACATCCTGCGAGGATTTTAACAGACCATTACACCAATCAGTACACCAAACACATCAAAAAAACTCGATTTCGTTGATCTCTAATGATTTTAGAGAATTAATATTGGCGTGTCAAAAACTCCGCAGTCATCATAATGCCATTTTTTTTACATAATGCCATTTTTTCTTAAAAATGGCATTATGATGACTGCGGAGTTTTTGACATGCCAGTATTAATTCTCAGGATTTTTCCCAGATATTCAAAGGGGTATTTTTTTTGCAGATATATCACCAAATCAACTGCCATCATTGTTTCTTCATCCACTTTATTGTACGGATTTATCGAATATGTCACTGGAAATGAAACATTTCAGCGAAAGCAAGTAAGTTTTTGCTAGTTTCCGGAAAAATCTCGTTTTCAAAAATTTTATTTTTTGTTCGTGATTGCCATTAACTCACAGAAGATGGGTGCTGAAGGTGTGCGGGGCAAGGGGGCAAAAGGGGAGGGGGGTTGATTGTTTGAATTTGATTTTGATCAAATTTGCAATCGTTTCATCGCACCAGCAAGGCTACCAGCAGTCTTTTTATCGATGCTGTGATCGATATTTATTTAATTTTAAATGATGTGATATTTATTAGGCTCATAAAACATTATTAACACTATTCAGAGAGTGAATATTAGCTAATAATTATGTAATGTATTGTAATTTTAATTTTAGGTGTGTGTTTATGAAAAAAGTGAGGGAATAAAAGGAAATGTGAATAAATCTGGAAAAAAAAGTAAGGGAATAAAAGGGAATATGAATAAATAATAGTAAAATATATCGGACATATTGAACACAAATATCCGTAGTATTTATGAAAAATTAATTATTTAGCTAAGATAGAAGTGTTTTGGTCTTTTAACCTGTATGCATTTCATTTGGTAGTCAATGTTACGCCTGTTTTGCAATTCTATTGGACAGAAGTTTTTAAAATTTTTGACTTCAAATTTTTTCGGAAAAGTTCCAAATTTAAATTTACCAAATTCCCATGATTATTTTAGAATAATACTACATAACTGTTAGATTCTGCAAGCTGTTGAACTTTTTTT